GATAATGTCCTGGGTTCAGCAGTAGCAGTCATGTTTTTCTTTTGTGTTAGCTGGTGCAGTGCTGTGTTTTGACTTCCAGTCTGGGGACAGTGTTGGTGAAGCCGATGTTTTCGGTTGTTGCTAAGTGATGTTTACCCTGACCAAGGACTTTGTGAGGCTCATGCTCTGCCAGGGAGGAGGGGAGGCTGTGAGGAAGCAGAGATGGGGCGCCTGACCCGGGCTGGCCGGGGAGGTATTCCATACCACAGCACGTCATGCCCGGGGTGAGGGGTAACTGGGAGTTACCCAGGAAGGACAGGGGCTTCCGGGTGGAACTCGTTTTTTTGGCCGGTGGTATCGTATTCTCTTCCCTTGTTATTTTCCTTTATCATTGTTGTCGTTGGTGGTAGTGGTGGTGATTTGTGTTGTACATTGGTTGCTGGACTGTTCTTGTCTCAACCTGCGGGAGTTGCACTCTTTCGATCCTCCTCCCCATTCCTCCGGGAGCGGGGAAGGGGAGAGCCCTGGTGCGGGGGGGGACGGACCTCGATTGTTGTCAGCTCGGCACCACTCACTGGGAGTGAGTGAACAAGTTACCTGATTGGGTTTAAACCACGACACTCTGCAATGTCACCACTTATATAAAACCATAGAATCACAGAATAGTTTGGATTGGAAGTGACCTTCAAAGTTCATCTAGTCCAACCCCCCTGCACTAAGCAGGGACATCTTCAACTTGATCAGATTGCCCAGAACCACTTCCAGCCTGGCCTTGAATGTCTCCAAGGATGGCACATCCACCACCTCTCTGGGCAACCTGTTAGCAGTATTTTAACACCCTCACTGTAAAACATTTCTTCTTTACATCCAGCCTGAATCTCCCCTCTTTTAGTCTAAAATCATCACCCCTCATCCTATCACAACAGGCCCTGCTATAAGGTCTTTCCCTGTCTTTCTTACAGGCCTCTACAAGAACTGAAATGCCACAATAAGGTCTCCACAAAGCCTTCTCTTCTCCAGGCTGAACAACTCCAACTCTCCCACCCTTTCCTCATAGCAGAGTTGTTCCATCCCTGTGATAATTTTTTTTATAAACCCATGGTGTTAAAATGGATTCAGTCGAAACCCAGGAGGATTATTTAACAGGTTTGGTGGTCTCTAGAATTTTTAAAGCTTAAGACTCTTCACTAGATATGCATTTTGCTTTGTCTTTTTGAAAAGAAAAAAAAATCTTCAAAAATAGCATGGGATGTGGTTTGCAAACCTAATAGCTTTGTTAAAGTGACAACAAAATTTAGCTGGCCACTAAGAAGTTGTAATAAAGGAGTTGGCAGTGTCCGTCTGCCTCCCCACATCAAATTAAGTCTTGTTCTGTAGCACACTATGTCATTAGAGTCATAGAATTATGGCATATTTGAGGTTGGAAGGGATCTCTAGAGATAAAGATCATCTAGTTCAGCCCGCCTGTTGAGAGCAGGGCTGCCTAGAGCCACTTGCCCAGAATCCTGTGCAGATGGTTTTGAATATCCCCAGCGGTGAAGGTTCTGCAACCTCCCTGGGCAGTCTGTTCCAGTGTTAGACCACTCTTACAGTAAAAAAAGCATTTTCTTAGTTTCTGTTTGTTTGTTTTTTTTTATTTTTTTCTTTTTTTTTTTTCTGTTTTAATATTAAAATAATTTATTTTACTACAAAAAACAATTCTAGGGAAGTTAAAGCTAAGATATTGCTTGCCTTTAAAAAAAAAATCAAATAAAAGAAACCCCTGCTTCCTATGAATTACCTAGTCTAGCCAGGGCTTGCAACTTGATTTTTACGCATATGTTACATCACACTTCTTCACAGTTCAGAAGGCTATGAAACCACAAAATAGCCATCACCAGTTTGGATAGGAAATTATACTGCTGGTTCCTCTGCTGAAAAATGAAATTGCCAGAGAAAGGTTTATCCCAGTCTCTGACCTTACCAAATCCTGCTGACTTGTAATAAGAGCACTAATAGTGATAGACATAAATTGAGATTCAAGTGTAGGTGTGTTTAACAGCACTTATTTTCTTGATTCCACATCTTTATTTGAAGACATGTCTTGTCTGACAAGTATTATTTAAACCTATTGCCTACTTTTCAAAAGGCTGTTCAGTATTATCAGTATGCTCCAGATTCCCCTGTGTTGACATCTTCTTCTCTACCTTTACTTTGCAGGTAGTGACATGAAAGTGTGCATCTACCAAGCACCTACAGGTCTGAAATCTTAGTCTGAAACTTCAATATGTAAGAAAAATAGCATTTTACAAGTGTTCTAATTTGTGTAGGCATATGTTATCCGGTAGAGAACAAAGGTCCTGAAGACTATGTGCAGTAGTGGCTGAAAAGAAGTGAGCAGCCCTAAAGACAGCTTATCAGGTGCTCATTTAGAGAGAGTCTGGCTCCTTTTAAATTGAATTTACAGCCTCTTTGGGAACCACTTTGCTCCCAACCTCCCAAATGCATATCATATGTGCATATATACATATATATACATTGTAGAATGGTTTGGGTTAGAAAGGACCTCTAGTTCCACCCCCCCCTGCCACAGGCAGGGGCACCTTCCACTATACCATGTTGCTCAAAGCCCCATCCAACCTGGCCTTGAACACTGCCAGGGATGGGTCAGCCACAGCCTCTCTGGGCAGCCTATGTCAGGGCCTCACCACGTACATGCATGCATACAAACATTGTAGGTTTAAATGATTAAATAATAAATCCGAGCAAAGGTTAAAATTTAATAAGGGAGCACCAAGATACTGTATTAGAGGCACATAGACATAAGAGCAATTATTAAACTTCAGCCCTGGGTGCACATTTCAAAAATCTCACCCTTGGCCTGTGCAGCTGTGCCTTCTCTAAATTCAAAAGGTCCACAGCCAAAAGGTGTGTATCACTTAAGACCTTGACAATGTAAATAAATAAAAAATAGAGCATGATAAGGTCAACATATCATGATGGATGTCTTCTCTTGGTTCATCTGAAGTTATAGTTTGCAGGATGCTTGAAGGTCTTGTGAATACCTATTAGCACCAGTCTGCACAAGGAAACAGGAGGAAAATGAACAGATGGCAACATTTTAGTTTGTGGATTAATGATAATTTAGTGCCAAAAGGGAAATGCTATTTAAAATGCAAAGCTTTCTATTTATTCTTCTCTAACTCCAGACTTCTGGCAGTACAATTTCTGACAATCATATTTTTCTTAAAAGTGCTCTCTTTTTGAATCTAAGGGTTTGTTTAGGGTGGTTTTGTTCTGTTTCTGTTTTTCTGAATTGGAGCACAACAAATAAATTTGAAAAGCTATCTCACAGATAGAACATATAGTCCATTAAGCATGGACTTCAAAGCTCAAGGACTGTCAGAAATAAAGGCCTGCGAATATTACTCATCCTTTCACTAGATCCATCAAAATAAGTCAAGTGCACGAGGTTAGCACAACTGTAAACATTCACAAGACTGAAGCCAACAGATCACTCTTAATACAGGTTTTTTACCAGATGCATTGCATGAGAAAATTCTGTAACATATTTGCAATATGAAATATACTATAAAAGGCAGAAAAAAAGGTTAAAAATTTGCATACATATGCAATAGTATAGTTATAACAGCATATCTAAATACAGGCCTTTAGATCTTTTTACATCCTAATTCTACTTTCTCATATTTTAGGGCAAGTTTATATGTCAGGGGATAGTACATTACAAAAGCAATGTTTTACATATCACAATTTCAAGACAACCTATTAAAAGAAGACAAAAGTCTTGTGTTTGTCCGGAATCATGTTTGGTTTTAAGCTGTATATCTCCAGGGAATAAGAATATATTTTTACAAATAGAACAATTTTGTCCAATCTCTTTCTTTATGTTTCAGTGAAAGTTTAACTGAATGGGTCCTTGAGTAAAACCTGGATTTACAGGCTTCAAACTGGAATTTAAATGCTCTTTTGGCATCTCTGAGACCTGAAAAGCGAAGTCAAATGCTTTATGATGTTTTTCTTTCAGGAAGATCACTAGCAGAAGTAGTTATGTTTACATGAATCCGTGGAATTGTACCCTGGAGTTCACTACATAAAATGCAAGCATCTGAGTCAAAGGATTTTTTACCAAATCTTAAAATGTTTTCTAGAACAGTATAATCTGTGGTATACCAGATAATAAATATGAAAATAAAGCAAGAGTTATTCATCTTGAGAGAGCTAAGGGCTTTAATCTCCAATATAGGCTCTGGAATCAGTGAAAGTTTCTTCTGTCAGCTGCCTGATTTAAAAAAGCATATGTGTATGTGTGTGTACACATATATCCTACCATCTTTTGTGGTGAAAGTTTGTTTTTTTAAAGGCTTTCTATCTCTGAAGTATCAGGCAGTCAGTAATTTCACAGGACAACCAGAGGGATCAAAAAGTGTTCACCTTTTCTGTAGCATAAGGAAATGCACATGACCATTCCCACCAAATTCTTTACTGTGAGGGTGGTGAGACACTGGACCAGGTTGCTCAAGGAAGTTGTGGATGCTTCAGCCCTGGAAGTGTTCAAGGCCAGGTTGGATGGGGCTTGGAGCAACCTGGTCTAGGGGAAGGTGTCCCTGTGCATGACTAGATAATCTTAAGGTCCCCTCCAACCCAAACCATTCTGTGATTCTTTGATTCTATCCCTCGTTTTAGCTTAGTTTTAAAGCCCTTCCAAAATCTCACACCACTCTGCCTGTTTTAATGAGGCATTAGGAAACAATTAATACTTTTTAATTTGCTCAGGTTTTTAATTTGTAGGTTGGCAGCCTGTGGTGTCACACAGTGCAGTGGTCTGAGCAGGTAACCTTAGGGAAAGGAGAAGAGGGAGGTGCTCTGCCAGTCAGGCAGGGATGCTCAAGCTGGGAGCACTGGCCCTGTCCTCTCCTCAGCGGGGCACATTTCCCACACACAGATTATCCCAAGCAGCCATCTATCAAAGGACAGGGGGATAGCACATACCTCAAATATTTACAGTGCCTGCACTTTGAGAACTAGACAGTTCATTCACATCTGTGAACGGGTCACTTAAAACATCAAAATAAACCATCTGGCTGCACAACTGTTTCTAATTACTTCCCTGCCTAGACTGTAAACTTCGGGGTTTGGCACCGGCCTCCCTCCCAGAGTGCTGCCCAAATCCCGCTCCCAGGCAGCTAATCAGAGCCACTGCCGCACGGGGGGAGCAGCCCTGGAGCCGGGCTTGTCCAGCCTGCAGCTCTGTGCACTCTCGGCGGGCCTGTCCTGCCGGCTGTCCCGCTGCAGGAGCAGGGCAGCTTGCGCCATGTACGCACAGCGGCTGCTGGGGCTGGTGCTGCTGCTGCTGGTCACCTCGCTGCCGGCCGGTGACCTCTCGCCGGCGGCCGGCCCCCTGTCCCTGCGGTAAGTCTGGCTCGGAAGGTCCTGGGGGGGGGCGGTTGCGACTGGCTAAGAGGCGTCAGGAGTGCAGAGGCTGCGGTTGTGGAGGGAACACTGGAGCGGTTTGTGAGCTCTTCCTCTGCCTGCCTTAAAGTGACACTGAGGGAAGTGATCTGGGTCACTGGGAACCTAAAGAGGTGTTGTGAAAGCACTGGGGGTCATTTGCAGTGCTGTATTTTATGCCCAAAGTGTAGATTTTTAAAGGAGTGAAGGGGGAAGTTCTGGACAGTGATGACTCTCTACACACAAACTTCTAAATTCTGCTGCCCGAGCAGAGCAGGCGCCTAACCACAAACCCCTGTGAGTTCCTGCTCAGCAGGTACACTGCGCTTTGCTCTTTTCCTCTACCAGGGCCAGCACCCGCTTGGCTCTTAGAGCCAGCACCTCCTTTGCTCCAGAGCCTGCAAAATCTAATGTTTGAGAAGTGCAGGTACTAGTCACCTGAATCCTCCACATTCCCTTGTGTTGTGAGCACCTATTTTTGTCTTGGCCAGCCCTTTGTTCTGTTTTCCTATAGTCCAGCTCCTGTTGAGGCAATGTGTGATTTTCCCTGTGTACGATCTCTCTGTGCTCCAGTACATGGTACAGTTGCATGGCAGAGCTGCAGATCTTTAGAGCTAGCATCCAGATTCTGCTGACTTTACTAAAGCCACAGCGACAAGCTACACTATTGCGTGGAAAGCAATGATTACTTTGGTTTCCTTTTCTGATGAAAGCATGGATCCTATGTATCTGACAACCAGAAAGATTACTTTGGCAATGTATTTTATTAGAATCAACCATAGTTTTGCTTTTTGGTATCAGATATTCTTGTTATGCTACCTAGATGTTTGGATGTATGCATCTTTTCCAACCCTCTTGGAATAATTCAGATTAAAATCTTTCATGATAAACAATTAAACTATAGAAGTATATGTTTATATACCAGATACACATAATGAAAAAGATGATGAACCTAATTCAGTTAACATGGTCAGTAAAATACTATATAAGCATTAACACAGCTAGCAATGAGATTTGTGATGAAAGAGAAGAAAATTGGGTGAGTTGAGGCAAGAAGTAGTTTACAAGCACAGCTAAACTGGTAGCATTTAAAACAATATTCTGAAGCCATGGCAGGGGTGTGGTTGCCCTTGAGGCAAGCTCTCATCAGACCAGCTCTGAGCTGCAGCCACTGGCTTTGACCACAGCTTGTTCCGTTTGCTGTCCTCTGCAGGAGTGGTTTGGATCGTCCTTCATGCCGGCTGTCCCGAACTGAGTCAGAGCTCAGGTGCCGTGCTCCAGGGGGAAAGCTGTGCAGTGACAGGGGCAGATGTGAGTGTGGAGTCTGCATCTGCCAAGTGACTGAGTCTGGCAAATACTATGGTCCACTGTGTGAGTGCCATGACTGGATGTGCGAGACCTATGATGAGAAGATCTGTGCAGGTAAGGAAGCCATGACAGGAGCTCAGAAAATTAAAAGCATGTATTACAGCCAGAAATATGTTGGGAACACAGCACACTGACACAGAAGAAACACAGTTATATTTATGTTCCTGCGCCATGACTCTAAATGGGATTGTGGGCACATCCAAGGATTTAACAAGATTATAGGATGCAAGTCAATGGCACTGTCTTTACTATAAAATGAGACTTTGCCCAGCGTGAGCTTCATCTGCAGCAGAGACAAAAGCAGGAGTTGCTTTGGGTTGGGAATCTCTGCAAACTGTGTTTGGAATCTAATACAGGACACAATATTGCATGTGGTTTTCATATAATATCGCTGCATTTGAGTTGCTTGCCTGATGATGGCACGTGGTATTTACCAGCACTTCAAACTACCTCTGAACGATCAGTTTTGTCCTGTAATTATTTGTTTTCTTCTGCTGCTATGAGGAAGAAGGTTTGCTGTAGCAGGTACCACACTGAGGGTGTATAAATACGAAAACTCTGGTTTTCTTGAAGTAATGATAATGCTTCCAAATAGAGACTTAAAACAATGTCATTGTATTGTGGTTTCAGAGATTTCCCTACTGACACAGTATTTTTTAATGACAGATGAAATAACATACATTTTTGGGACAGAATTTAGAATTTAGCCCCTGCCAGTTGTTGGAACATGTTGCTTGGTTTGCATCTAAGCATTATCACTCTTTCATCTTTCCAGCTGTCTTTACTTAAGTTTCTGGGCTATTTTGGTCAGATTTTGGACTTTTTTCTTTTTCTTTTTTTTTTTTTTTTAAGCAGCTTAGAGTAGGATTTTAGAAGAAAGCAGGGAGAAGAAATGCCATCACATTCCTAAGGGGATTCAGCCTGGAGCTTGATGTAAGGGGCCAGAAGTGTACTTCATTTCTAGTATTTGCTTCAACAGCTTTACCAGATTCACACAAACGTGTCATCTTTTCAGGCCAAAAATTGCAATTAGGTCAATGGGAATGTTACAGGAATTCTCCTAGTAAGAGGACAATACAAATGCATTCCAGGAGTGGGTTTGGCATATTTTTTAGGAAAAAAGAGCAACTTATTTTAGCAGCAATGTAGCTAGGAATAAGAAGTCCAATAATAACATGAAAAGATCAAGGATGGGATTATAAGAAAAATGTTTTTATTTGTTACCTATAACTTTAGAATTTTGTGGAGAAACTGACATAGACTCTGCAGTTATCAGTGTTAATCCAGGTACATAAGAAATATCGGTGGTCTGCCAATCATTTCAGTGCATTGCTGTCCCAAATGTGAATTAGCTGACTGGTGGTGTGATTTCAATATGCTTGCTGTTGTTGCTGGGGTAATTGCATGAAGTGAAGCTGAAAGTTCGTTCAATTGTAATATTCTGCTACAAACTCCAGCATTATTTTCCTGTTAATGTCATGAGCAGTGGCTGCAAGTTTTGCCAGTGCTTTCGTGAAAGGGGGTGCTGACAGGATAAACAAACCCGAGAGATTTGTAACAGTATTCAGCTTCATGTGTAGCCCTTCATGCAGTAGTTCGAAGATGTGAATGTCAAGTGATTAAGCATTTTTAAAATCACCATTTATTGTATCTGACACCTTTTGTAGCTGGAGTGTTGAAGCCGTGTTACCTCTGAGATGTCAAATAGTTTAAATTCACTCTTCTGGAAAAAAAAGGTAGTAAAAAATTCGGTACAAAGGCATGGGGAGGAAAACAGCTGTGAAGAGCCTATGGGTTTTGCTTGTTTGGTTTGTTTTCTCTACAGTGGTGCTGAAAGTCCTGCTGGCTTTCTTGGGGTCCAGGGCTGCCCAGCATTCTCCCTGCAGGAGAGTGGCCCTGGGTAACTCCTTCGGGACTGGGGCATGGGGTCTGGATCCCGACAGGGAAATGCCTCCTTTTGGCTGTGCTTGCCCTCTTCATTTCCCCACCACGGTTTTAGTCACTTAGTGTGTATGTGGGTGGAGAGGAACATGGAAAAGATGGTCAGATCTAGTATAACTGGCAGGAGACTTGTCCTTATGTTGTATGACTAACAACCCCATCCCCAACCATTCAGTGAACTGCATCTCTGATGTTTCTTAGTATTATACCATCAAGCTGATTTCCCATGTATGACATAGTTCCCTTTCTTTGCATTTTTGAGCACGTTCTTTGACTCTGTGATGAAATTATGTTTCCTCTAGGTGAATAGCCAAAATGTCTTCCTGCAGTTCTATTCCTGTTTCCTGCTTTGTTTTTGTTTTTCCTATTTTTATTTTGTCACTTGCTGTTCCATTTCATTGTGGGTCTCTCCTGCTGAGTACAACAATAGCTGCTGACTGCTACCACGTGCAGCACTTCTAGATGCTAATTGAATATTCCTCTAGAGAGCCATGGTATTTGAGATTAATGCTGTTTCAAACAAGCCACTTTTCAAGCTGCCAGAGTGATGACTTTTTCAAGTGACTGGTGTCTAATCACCAGCGATGTTCATATTCCGAGTTGGACAAGCAGAGCTGTTTGAGTCATGAGTGCCAAAGATAACTGTGTTTTCCTGCCACTGAGTTCAGACATACCTCTACCTCCCTTTCCTGTCCCAAGCTAAACAAAATATATGGGTGCAGAATATGCAGCTCATTATCTTCAATGCATTTCCTGGGTCAGATCCACCTTCTGGACCAGTCATTGGACACCCATATTCTGGAGAGGGAAGGGCTGAAGATAGAGATGATTTGCTTTTTCTTATCACCTTCTGTAAGCAATGAGAAAAAGATTCTACCATGAGTAATGAAAAAGAGCAGATGCAAATGCCTCTGGCCTTTTACTCTCCCTTGAGACTTCTTTGCTGTGTTTCCCTTCCATGGTGTTTCCAGGTGCTTTAGAGGGAATTCTCAACATTTTTTTTTTGCCCTCTATCCCACTGGGATTGTGTCCTGGGTTCAGCAGTAGCAATAGGTGATATCTTATGGAGTCAGAAACAAAGAAAAGAGAAATGAATTTCTGTAGGTCAAGTAATTGAGTTTTCTGTCTTCCTCAATGGCTTTTATATTTGCCTGCCATATTGCAGGGTGTAGAGGAAAGAAGATTCCCAATCCTGTCATTCTCTTTGCAGTGTTGGTGACATCTTTATTTTGTTACTTGCTGCTGGTCTTCACAGAAATGAACTAAGAGGAGGAAGACTGAATCAAACACTGATTCAAAACCCCGAAGGATTTATTCTTTATTCAGGTCAGACAATGTATTTGTTGCTGTTTATTTGCAAATAGTAGTTCTAATCTCAGACTGTTTCATATTGCTTCAAGCTTTCTTAGCATAAGTGGACCCTGTATTTTGTGTAAAGCAAAGTGGAATGCAGCACTAATTCCTATCACGTCTCTGCTTGATACCTCTTTTTCTGTGGTTTTGCTGTAGAGAGGAAAATCAATGTTAGTGAATTTTATTTCTCTTTTTTAAGCTAATCTTTTTTACTGTGCCTCTTATTAATGATGATAGAAAAAGTAAACTAAGTGCAGACTTCCATGGCAAAATGGAATGGGAACACTAGGTCCATTCCTAGAGAATGGACCATGGAAATTGCCAGCTGGGACATGAGACAATATGATTGCTCTGCTCATAATTGGTGAGATCGAGGGACAGAAATGATTCCGTGACAGCACAGAGAGCAACATAGGAAGAAGGTTCCTTTTTGCTCAGAACTATATTAATTGCTATTGTTTTTCCATAGTTATTAAGATCTTATAAACAATTTTTATTCTGGACTGAAATACCTTTTGCACCTACTGTAATTGCCTCACTATGGTGGTACTGCATGATTTACCACTGCCATAAGCAGTTGCTGAGGAACTTCTGTTGCAGCTGTTCAGGCCAGTGAAAGATTTTTCCATTTCTGTTCCAAAGCTGTAGATTCCTAAGTGCTGTACCTATTTTAAGACTAGTTCAGCAATGTAATGGCAGTGTTAGCTGTAGTTTTTCACAGTTGCAAGTGTTATCATAGCTATGTGAAGGACAGAAAGATATCAGTGCCATTATTTTCCACCCTGTAAGGCTTTAAACTATGCAGAGAACAGAAGTGAAAAATTAAATTGACAAGGAGTGGATGTAGAGATACAAGATAAATTCAAATGAAAGTGTTGATGTAATACATAGTTATGCATCCATGTGATTTTATTGGATATATGGCCCTATATATCAGTTGGAGAGAGAAAATGGAGAATGCAATTTGGAGAACATTCTGAGCTGAGGACTGCTCTGCACAAAAGCTGAGTAGTGAGGTATCTTAGTTGAGTTGGAAATGCTCTAACAACTCTACCTTTTCATTCCTGCTGAAGGGAGGTCTGTCACACTGATTTTTCATTGAGCAGCATTTCTTGCTAAAATTGTGAAGAAAAGCCTGTCTATGACCTGCATTGACTGCCGTTTGAGCCAAAGGGAAATTCAAAGCCTTGGATTTTGAGAACAGGTGTAAGTCTCTTCTCTGAAAGAGGTCATGTTTGCAAAGATTCATCTGTGGCATATGTGGTCACTGGACACATCCTCCTAAAAAGACCGAGTTAAAAATAGGGCAGGAGGCTACTCATGAAACGGGAGGTAGTGTTTCTTCTCTGATCTGGTTTGCTAGATTTCAGAACTTGGCTTAAGTTACATTTCCTTGTGAAGCAGGGGTGTGTAGCTGTGATAATAGCATATATACTTAGCTCAAAACAAGTCCCCCAGAGTCTAGTAGAAGTGAAATTGTGGTAACATAGCGCTCATTGTGTGCTTATTGCCTTGCGAAGTGCACGAGGTCCTGGCAAACTTACAAAGCATGACTATTATTCTCAGCTTTATGCTGTTGGTGCCTGATCTAGGAAAACTCAAGTAGCCTATATACATCTACAATTGCTGTAGTTCCAAATGCAGTGTTTATTCATAGCAGTAGCGAGTGAGGCATGATGAGAAAGCTCAGGAAAAGGCACTGGAGAGAGGTTATTGGAAGGGAAGCATTTTAAAAGTAGCTTATTAAATGATTTGTAGCT